CATATTCCTCTCATCCCCTAATAAAGGTGTCCCCCCAAGTTCTTTCTCTGAGCTCTTTTCTCTCAATATATTCTCTTCCTTGAGGATCTCATCCACTCTCAAAGCTTCAATTATCAACCCTATGCAAATGTATATAAATGTACATAAATGCTCCCCAGAAATCCAGTACCCAAATGGTATGTTGGTACCTCACACTTCACAAGTCCAAAACTTAATTCTTCATCTTTCCCAAAAAAGTTTTCCCATCCTCTATATTTCTCTTGATGTTTGCACCATTCTCCAAGAAACAAAGCTTCATGGCTTTGGGATCATCTTTGACACTTCCATCTCCCATGTCCCATAAATCTAATCAACTCCTAAGTCTTATCAGCTGAACTTCCACTGGAACCACCTTGGACTTAAGTCCTGATCTTTCCACACCTTGACTAACTGGTCTTTCCTTTACAAATCCATCCTGATCACTAGTGGCTTATCTTCTTTACATAAGGTTCTTAACCTGTATGTCCCTTAAAAAACAACCTTCAGGGGCTCCCCACTGCTTACTAAATAAAATATAAATTCCTGATCAAGATCACTCAAGATTCTCCATAACTTGGCTCCAATATATCTTTGCAGCTTCATCACACACTCCAAATTCCAACCAAATAGGACTACTCTCTGAAAAAAATATAATTTCAGGATTTATATGCTGTCTCTCTAAAAATGGATTTATTTTTGAGGAAGGATTTAAGAAAAACAAATGCCATAAAGCATCCTTTAAAATTAAAACCAAAATTTCTTATCCATTCACTGTTTTTTCTACTGCTACAATGAACCGCCAATCCCTAATCCTAAGTGGCAAAATAAATGAAATAGAACTCATAACTACTTGTTTGAAATGTTCTAGAAAAAAATAAATTTTAAGAATGGAAGAGCAAAATAATCATCTTCAAATAGGGCAGGTTTTATAAATATTTGTTTTTATTCTATATATTATTTTAGATTATAACATTCATGTGGTTGAGGACCATGCCTTATTTGATCTTTTTATCACTTCTAGTGCCTTGCCAATGCTCTGTATGTAACAGATGTTTAGTAAGTAACCAGTGAATTGAATTTTCTAAATATATGAAAGAGTTATTTTCATTAGCAGAAGAAAGTAGCTGAACAACAATTTTCTAAGAAAAAAAATGATTGCTTGAAAAATGGATAAAAACTCAATTAATGCTACTGACATTCATTCAATAAAAATAAATACTAATACTATTAGGCAGATTCAATAGTACTAAGCATTTGCTGATAAATGATAAATGTATATATTCTCTTTAATATAAGTCCAATCAACAGCCTATTTGGTGCCAAGTTAAATTAAAACCTTTCTGTATTTTCTAAGGGCTCTTTACCACAGTGTAGAGTTTATAAACTTATAAAAGTTTACAATTTATTTATTACAAAAAAAAATTCCCTTCAGAATGAAAATAGGGGCAAAGGTTAAGAGAGACAATATTTTTCATTCTACATGATCTATAGCTTCTTAAAAAGCAACTATGAAAACCCAAGAAGATGAAATAACTATATAGATGCCACCAAAAAAAAAAATCTCTTAGACTACTGGTGTCTAACTACTGAACAGTGACGTGGGGACCACATATTTACTCAGAAAGACACATTTATCATTATCTATGTTATATTGTATTTTCATTTTTTAAATATTTCCCAATTATATTTTAATTTAGTTCTGACCCACATATGAGTATTGCAGCTGTGTCTCTGAAACCTCTGTCTTAGACTAACAGCATTAAAAATGAAAGTTAAGAAAAGTTCTTCCACTTAAGAAAATCTAAACCATCTTATGTTTTCACCTGTCTACCCACACTACCAAACCAACAGGATCATTTCTCTATTCCCTATGCAATACTGTTCCTGTTCATTTTCCTTTGAAGATTTTATGTCTGTGAAATTGGAAGATGTTATATACACTAGAAGAAGTGAAGAGATCCTAAAGATAGTTAATACTTCCAACTAACACTAATATACAAATATGTAATAAGTCAAAGATTAGTCAAATTAGTTCAATGCAAAGAAAGGGAATAAATTAGGATATTGATAAGAGAAGAAAGTAAAGGAAAAATTTTAAAAGGTACAAAACAATTAACTTTTATTAAAAAGGCAGATGTTTTGTTAAAATGTTAAACTCTTATAAATATCTACATTTTAAGAGTTAAAAAGCACAAGAAATTTTTCAACACAAGCTCCATGTTTTCAAGGAACTGGTATGTTTAACAGTATCTTGCACATATAACATACTTATTGTTTACTGAATTCAATATCATGAATGATCCTTATTAATGAATCAGAAAACTGGATAATGCGTTAAAGAAACTTCAACATTTAAAAAAGTAACACCACTTCAGGAATAAGACATTTTAGGGGCAGCTAAGTGGTACAGTGGATAGAGCTCTGGCTTTGGAGTCAGGAGGACCTGAGTTCAAATCCAGCCTCAGACACTTGACAATTACTAGCTGTGCAACCCTGGGCAAGTCACTTAACCCCCATTGCCTCACCAAAAAAAAAAAAAAAGAGAGACATTTTAATAATTTCAAAGCAAAATTCCAGTCTTGGTGACATATTTTTTAAAAATGTTATCAGCCAACTGTCCCAGAAAATTTCCAGTGATCTTTCTCACATTCGTCATCAGCACTATAATTATGATACCTTCTGTTGTCAGTGAACATTCATATCTTGAAAAAATACAAAAGTAGGATATAGAAAACCTCCATATTCATTACAATTATAACTTGTCCACAAGCTAATTGTTTATGCCCTGATATTTAGAGAATATGTTTATCAACATAATTATGTTACTATATGAAGCATTCCTTTCTTGTCACTTGGAAAAGGCAACTGCCTAGTACATATCCTTATTTTTATTAATGCCTTTTTGGTCAACCCATTCAAAGATTACAAATGTTAGCAAGATAGCTTCCCATCTCACAAAGAAGAAGCCTTTATATTGAAGATAATTATAAGACCATTGAATCTTTTTCAAATGAATTTTTAAAATATTTATAGAGTATATACATATATATAAATCAATTTTAATTCTTTAAAAACTAAATATAGAAATAAGGCTTGAAAAAGGTAATTTTCATTAATGTCATTTACTCATCTTAATACCCAGGTTCATATAATCTCTAAAGCCAGAATTTTAGAAATGTAGAAAAATAGAGTTTATATCTTTAGATAATTTAATCTTGGACTACTAGAACTATATAACATAGGTTAATTTTCTATAATAAGTACTTATTGGGTACCCATTGATAACTTTTTTCCTTATATACAATCAACCAAGTTCTTATTTCACATAGCTAAATTTTAAAGGAGGTTATTTCATAATTTGTAGGATACAGGCATATGTGATTGCCTCCTACACGGAGTGTAGACCTTAAGAAGTGATCTTCCTGCCATTAATGAGTGTTGTATAAATAATCATAATTGACCTAACTCATTAGCCCTAATACCCATTTCTAAGCCCCTAGTGTTTGCCTATACCAATAACAACCTGCTGGTTTATAAATTTCAGAGATGTCATGAGAGTACTTTTAACAATTACACATGTGGTTTAAATTTCTTTCCTAGAGCGAGCTATATTAAGTGAATATAGGATTCAAGGATCAAACAACAGCTCTAAAATACAGGTTCAAAGCATCATTATTCTAACTTGAAGACCCAAAATGAAGACCTATTGAACAATATGATTTGGAGATAGTTTGCTGAAGAAATTGAGGTGCCAGGAAGCCATCACCTAAAAAATAATTAAAGTAAAATAAATGGTAATTTCAAAAATCATGAACAAACATAAGGGCATGTTGTAGTGGCAAATGTAAACAGGAGGCTGAACTATCTTTGGGGAGTCTAGAAAGAAACAATCTGGGGATTAAGAAATGGTCAGTGTTCAGCACTGTGAAAGAAAGAAAGAGAGAGATACTGAGTTTGGTGGATGCGAATATTCTAAAAGGAGTATTCTATTAATGGAAAAGGATTAATTTTGTAGGCTCTACTATGGTAGAATCTTATGAAACTCTTCTCAGGATTACCAAGTTTCATCTACTCTGATTCCATTTTCATCAAGCATTGTTTTGAGTCGTAATTTATTTTCCTCATTTTATCCTACCCACTTAGAGGGAAGTATCTCCTGGAAATAAAAAGTAATGGTTATCTTGCCAACTCTGTCTCCCTCTGTAAAATTAATAAATGACCATTATGGTTTGTAAATAAATCAATCTATTATAAGTTTGAGTTAAATTCTCCAGAAATTTCAAAATCAAGTCTCTGAACCCACATAGTTGAGAGCATGTAACAACTCCACTAGGAAGCAGCAGACCTCAATTAGGCCCAGTTGGAAATAATCAACCTATTACACGGTAACAATATCACAATAGCCTCATTAAGAGAAGTCTTGTTACTTCAAAGTTAAGAGGGATACCTGTTTCTAAATGCCTTCAGAAGAAGTTTATGGCTTAAAGTAAGTGGTAGAATTCTTTATTATGGACAAAACAACTTTCTCTGAACTGGAAATAATCTTTGAAAAATACCAGGATAACCACAGTCACTGTTCAAGGGTTCTACACAGGGAAAGCGAAAGTAATAAATATTTCTATAAGAGAAACCCAAAACTAAGAAAACTAGCATATACCTAGTTGGATAATTAGTTTTTGCAAAGAAAATATCACTGTATAGTTTAACTAATTATTGTACTTAAGACTTTAAATGCTAACATTAAAAATATATCAAATGTGCTTCATTTGGATCTATAGATTTAAAAACTCCAACAACCATAAAAAGCATTCTATGAATTTTACATATAACTTTATACAATTCAAAATGGTCTTTAGTAATGGAGTCAACATCAAAAATCTATAAAATAACCACAAAATATTTAGCATCTTACAACTTTATAAAATGTCAACAGTCAGAAATATCCAAGTAAGATATACCAGATAAGAAGTACTGAAACCTACTTTGCAACCTTCGAGTTGGGCTCTCCCCATGTGGCTGTCGTCGTGGCAAATATGGAGACGGGTGGGGAAGTGGCAATGAAGAGACATCATGTGTCTGAAGTTTATACCAATGAGGCTCATCATCTAATAATGCTGTCTCTAATTCAATTAGAATCTACAGAAGTAATAGGCACAGTGGTTGTTACAAAGCAAGTAGAAACAGTAAACAAATTCTCTTACATGGTCACATACCTTTTGGAATAATTTTTAAAGTACTACAGTAATTGAAAGACAAAAATTTTAAAAAAGAATTTTATATATGTTGACAATTAAATTGGGGAGAAATATAAAATGTCTTTATCAGCTCTAAGTAACTAAGACTTTCAGTTTTCAGTTTCTATTTAGCTTACTGAAAAAGTTTACAGGACCTTAGCTGTTAACTAATGGTGTGAGAATTTTGCAGCCAATAGCAATCAATAACAATTATAATGAGTGAAAAGAAATGATAAATGAAAAAAAAATAGAAACAGAAAAAAAGGGAAATAAATTTCTTTGCCTTCCAAAGAAAGCCAGGGGGAAATGAACCATTTGACTCACATTGATGATTACTGTTCATTAATTTGTTTTTAATTATTCATTGGAAGTTCTTTCTTTTCCTTTTTGAGGCACTTAGAAAGGTCTGAAAGGTGACATGAAATGACTCCTAGAATGGTGGGAATCATCAAAAGTACTCTCTCAACTCTGTAATAGCTGACTAGAAACTAGTGTCTACACCTAGGGAAATGTTGAGAATAAACAAAATACTTCTTTTTAGAGCCAGAAAAAATTCAATTATTCATTCCTTCATTCAGTGAACATTTATTAAGTGTATACTATATGCAAGGCACTAAGGGAAATACAAAAATAAATAAGACCTGATTTCTATTCCACATGGTTTGCAATATAATAGGTGACAAAAAAACCCTACACATGCAAACTTTTATTAAGTTTATTTATTAAGTTTCTTTTATTAAGAAAAACTTAACTCTTGTATAATAAGCTGGTTACATTCTTAAAATAGAATAATACTAAATAGAGATTTTCAGAGATAGGTCATTAGGAATTTGCACTAAATTTGAGATATGATAGAGGAAAACAATACATATAATTTATTAACCAACTCTATGGCCTCCTCAACTTACAAGAAAACAGAGTTTAATTTACAGGATACTAAAAAAATGCCTACTATGAAGTATGATTCTGCTTCATAGTTACATAAGTGGACTCCTCTCAGATGCTGCTTGAGGAATTGAAAAGAATTAAGGGTTTCTGTGTAATATTTGAAGCACCAAATAAGGATATCCCTAGCTAGGTAATAGAACTTTGCTAAAAGCATCACAGGAACCACTAAAATTAATTCTAGCTAATTAACCTAATTCTATTTAATTAATCAATTAATTGATGTGAAAACATCAAGGAGATGTTCTTTCTAACGTGCATAGCATTGCTTTCAGATTCATCTAACACTATAACATCTATGTAGCAGAGACGAATATGACTACTGTTGCCCTTAAAAGGAGTATTAAAGAATGTGAAAAGGATCTCTCATCTTTGCCCTTTTTACCTGTGTTCCCCGACCCCCATTCCCACCATGCACTCCCTGCTGACCTATGCTCCAAAGAATCCATAGCTTCTTTCAGAATATAGCTCAGGAATCACCTACTGGAGGCATTGTCTGATTGCCCTAGTTATTAGTATTGCCTCTCTCCAGAAATATTTGGTGCTACTTTGCAGATATTTGTTGGTTCACAGGTATTCTCTCATCTAACTATAAACCACTCAAGAGTGGGGACTGTTTTGACTCTGTCTTTGTATCCTTAGTTCTTGGCAAAGCATCTTGTTTCTAGCAAGTGCTTAAAAGGATCTTCTTAATTTAATTGAATTGTCCAGGATACACAAAGTGATAAGCAAACATACAATACTACCATTTTTATTTTCTAAAGATTTTTACTTCTCCCTAAATATTGTTCAACTAATCACTTTAAGGTGATAACTGATTTCCCATCTTATTCCAACAAATAATCCCTCTACCATTAGTATACTCTGAAATCTCTGCTGTTCCACACATCTCGGTGATTCTATATCATTAGGGTTTTGTTTTATTTATTTATTATTAGGTTGTTTGTTTTATTTCAAGAATCCGTTTAAATGACTCTGAAAAATCAAGGTATACAAAAGACCCCATAAGTCAAAAGTGATATTAACTCAGTAAAAAATAAAATAAATTTTACAAAATCTAATTTTACAATTAGATCCCCACAAATCTAAAAGGCATGTAAGATGACATAAAATGGGATTTAAATCCAAACCAACATCAACACTTTAATTTTTATACCAGCTTGGGAAGCAAATAAAAATATAACATTTAACTCTGATATTTTAATGGCATTGATGACAGAGTACAAAAAGGAAAAATAATCCTAGTAGCCCCTTTTATTATAAAAATAATGTACTTTTGTTCAGTCATTTTTAAAAGTTTTTGAATTCTTTTATTAGTCTTTTTATAATTAATACTATTCAACAAGTTATTAACAATCTAAGTCTTTAAATAATCCCACATACCTCTCCTAAAAATTCACTTTCTTCCTCTCTAACTCGAGCTTGATCCCAAAGGGTAATCTCCAACATCCGTTCTCGAAATTCCCTCCGATGAACTGGAGAGTAAATGAATGTTTGATTCCACTTAGGTTCCAATGTTTTCTTTACCGTTTTGGTTCTTCTTTTATTTTTATCACTATAAAGAATAATCAAAAAGTGTTACCTTTTACATATGCTTAAACTGTGCTACATATCTAATGTAAAGTTTATGATTGGTTGTAAATTGAGGCAACTGTCATCTAAGTTTTTAGCACAATTGAATTAACCAGTACTAAAAGAATTCTAAGCATTTTTAATAAACCTTAAGTAGAATTTGAAATTCTGACTATAATTTTTATGTTTTTGGTTTGTCATAGTAAAAATTGTATTAATGTCCTAGACTATTTTTCATCAAATATATTTTATGCTCTCTGAAAATTTGAATAAAAAAAAGAAATGTATTTTTAAATTATTTGAAATGCCACTTAATTTTAATTTACCAGGATGTTTCATCTAAAATAATGAGTACTATGGAAACTTCAATAAAGGAAAATAGTATACCTGAGAAAGAAGTCTTGTGTAGCACAAAGCTATATTACAAATTTTATATGGAACTACCAGTATGATTAATTCTCTAAACGCCCCAGTGAAGGGGTTACCACACTAATCAGTCAGTCAGCAAGCATTTATTAAGCATTTACTTTGTGTCATCTAAGAGCTAAGGCTACAAAGGAAAGTAAAAACAATTGCTGCCCTTAAGAAGCTCCTATTCTAATGGGAGAGACAACATACAATCAACTATGTACATATAAAATACAGGGAGGCAAATAAATTCAACAGTGAGGGTTATCCAGAGTTATGGATTATTAGAAGGTTGGGAATGGTAGAAGGTGCTGGTGGAATTAGGGATGAAATATTTGAGGATGTTGACTGACACTGGAATGGCAGACCATGGCAAAAAAAAACTGGTCAAATGTAGCCAGGGTAGGAGAGACCTGGTGTAAGAATAAGGAAAAGTCAATGTCTCACCCACTATAAATGTATGGTATAAATCCTCAGGTAGTCCTTCCCTGCTCCCCTACCATCATAAGACTATAGAGCTGAAAAGTTAGAGTTGGAAAGGCTTTAGAAATGATAAAATATATCTCCTTCATTTAATTTTAAGGATACTAAGATACAAACAAATAAAATTACTTTCCAAAGCCACCAGTTAGTAAGAGAGTGATGATTCACCAGGTCCTCTGACTTTAGAACCAATACTCTTTCCATGATTTTACTGCCTTTCTACATTACTCTTTAATTCCCTGCCTCATCCCTCAGAGTGATTGTTCCATACTTTCTCATCTCTCCCTAAGCTTCCAGAGTCTGATGCCCTTTTCCTTTACAGCAAATGACCCTTCTGCTTCACTGAAAGCAAGGCCATCCAATAATAGTTTCTTCATCTCCCTTACTGAAAAATTCTCAGGAGCATCATCCACCTTCCACTCTATCTCCAGTTTCAAGGAACAATGTATTCCTGCCCCATCTATTCCCAACCCTTCCATGACCTTATTCTGGTAGTCATCCCCCTTTCTCTCCCTCATCTTCAATCTTTTCCTCACCACTGACTCCTTGCCTTCTTTCTGCAAACAATTAGATCCCCACAAATCTAAAAGGCATGTGTCGTTGACTCTTCATGACCAATGAACTTGAACAGAAGGATGTCTCCATAGATGTAGGACGGCTAGGTGGTGCAATAGTAGACAGAGTGCTGCGCCTAGAGTCAGAAAGACCTGAGCTCCAATGAAGCCTCAGACACTATGTCTCTGTGAACCTAGCTGGATAAGTCACTTAACCTTTGTTTGCCTCAGTTTCCTTATCTGTAAAATGGGGATGATAATAGCACTTACTTTCCAGGGGTTGTTGTGAGGATCAAATGAGATAATAATTGTAAGGAACTTAGTTTAGTAAGCACTATATAAACAGCTTCTCATTACCCTCTCTTAATTCCTTCCAATTAGTCTGGCCCTATCACTCCATTCATGCCACTTTCTCCAAGGTTACCTCTGTGCCCAGACCACCAGTCTGCTCCCTCAACTTCAGCTGACATTGCAATGCCTGCTTTAGGTGCAAGGGCAGGGAGCTGAAGCTCTGGTCAGAGGAGGAATGGAAACTAAGGGTGGTACCCCGGCAAAGTCTAACTAGGCTAAGGAGGAAGAGGGACAATCACCCCAGGGAGCATAGACGTCTGACTTGACCACCAGGAGAAAGGGCCCTTCAAGTCAAAGTTCCAGAGAGCATAGGTGGAGTCTGAGCATGACGACTGAGGGCCTGGCCTTATAGGGAATGACTGGGAGCCCCATGAGCTGCTGGAAAGACTGAGCACATTCCATCCAGCCTGAAGAGTAAGGGCTAAGTACGAGCCTGAGAACTAAGTATGAGCCAAGGTTTGAAGGTCAGGTCTGAGTAAGATGCCTGACAGCCTGGTCGAAGGAAGGCTTGCGGGAAAAGATTTCAGTTGAAAAGTCTTAGAGCACACCATAGCCATAGTAAAAGTTCAAGTATAAGCCTGCAAACCAAGGGTTTGGTGTGAGGTAGGAGGATTGTAGGTAGAGTCTGAGAGGGAAAGACTCAAGAATGTCCTCCTGTAAGATGAAAACCCTGTTCTGAGCAGAAAGGATGGAGGATGAGGTATGGCTGGGCAAGAAGACTGAGGGTAGGAAAGACTTGATGTGGGGGGGGGGGGGAGAGAAACTTGAGGGTAAGGTCTGAAGGGAGAGGAATCTGAGGATAAGGTAGAGGAGAGGAATTTGAGGATGAAGTCTTATTATTGCAGTAAGAACTGAGAGCCTGATACGAGCAAGAGTAGGAACTAGCTCCTGGTATGATTCTGAGCCTGGGGAATGAGGGCTTGGAGTGGAAAGAAAAGACTTGAAGGCAAGGGTCGAGTGGGAATAAGTCAGGCCTGGCCTGAGCTGACCATGAGGATTCAGCGCGTTGGGGGGGGGGGGGGGGTAGAAGCGGCAAGTAAGTGCTGAGGATAAGGTCTGAGGGTGGGCAAGAGCCCAGGAAGGTTTGAGGGTGAGATCTGAGGAGCCTATTTTGCGTGGTCCCTAAATGGTAACGAAGGCTGAGGGCTGCCGTGAAGAGAAGTAAAGCATTTAACCTAGAACGACTGAGCCTGAGGGGCTGAGGGCCACTGGGAGGGGGAAGGCCTGAGGACAAAAGCTTATAAACCCAAGGTTTATAGAGTTTTTAGGGAGGGTTACATTCCTGTAAAAAGAAAGAAAGAAAAGCCAAAGGCCTGCTAATGCGACCGGGAGTCAAGGCCAACAAGCACAAATTCCGAAAGGTCACGTGATCTTCCCGAGGCCTGAAGGCGCGGTCTACACATGCTCAGAAGGAACTTAACCTTGACATCTGAGGTGGGGGGACACTGTGGAGGAGTTTGTATCCTCCCCACTTATCTCTTCCCCATCTTTCCCCCACACTTTGGGGTTGAATAAGGTAAGCCTCTTAACAAAACAAAACAAAAAAAAAGCATTTTGAAAAAAAAAGGTCATTATGTATTTGGGAGGGGGCGTGGAGGAGAGAGGGGCGGGACTCTTCCTCATAGGCCAGTGCATCAGCCTATCAAACCTGGCCCTTGAGGCCAGGAGAGGAAAAAGTGCCATAGCCATATTAGGGAACTGCCCCCAGTGGATCTAATTAGATAAGTGGAGTAGTTAGCACAATTTGAAGCATGCCGACAAGCTAACCCGCTCCCTGCCAAATACCGCCCCTCTCCCCTGGCTTTAAAATTTGTGTTATTAAAGGTGGAGACAACAACATTTATTGGGACTGGGGAAGGGAAATAAAGGAAGAAGGCAAGGATAATTTATCTCTGGGTGATACTTGGAAATCGTTTATCAGATGAAACCACTGACGAAACGGAAGCACAGATTCCTAGTTAGATGACATATAGAATAGGTAAGTCAAGGGGGATGAGGATGTCAGTGATAAGCCTGGGATAACTGGTCAACATGAAAGTGCCGGGGCTAGAAAGTAGGTCCAAGGTAATAGGCTAAATTAACTCTGGACACTGATCATTTAGACTTGGGAGACTTAGTTCTTAAAGTAGCTGGGGAAAAGAAAGTTATACATCATGAGGCAATCCTAAAATCTAAAAGTGGTCATGGAGAATTGAGTTTTATATAATGCATTCATCATGTAGGGCAGTGGTTCTTAACCCAGGGATTCACGTACCTCCAAGGGATCTATGGGTAGATTTCTGGATGAGAGGATTCTGTGAACTTGGATGGGTAGGGAAATTACATCTTTATTTTCACTAACCCGTTAAATGAAATTTAGTATTTTTAAATTTTATCATTGGAAATGGTTGGTATCACAGAAGATAGGACTCTGGGTCTGGAGTCAGGAAGATCTGAGTTAAAAATCTCATCTCAGACACTTTCTAGCTCTGTGACCTGGCTAAGTCATTTAACCTCTTAGTGACTCAGTTTTCTCAACTCTCTGTCAAGTGGAGTTAATAATAGCATCTACCTCTCAAAGCTGTTGTGAAGATCAAATGAGATATTTGTAAAAAGTATTTAATTCAGTGCCTACCACATAGTAGGCACTATATAAATAATAATTCCTTCCCTCCATTTCCATTTGTTATGAATCTAGGCATCAAAGTACAATAGAATTAGTCTTCACTAGACTGGCAAAGGAGTCCCGGAACACAAATATGGTTAAGAACCCCTCATCTGGAGTTAAATCTTAATTAGCCTTCAAAGGAAAGACAAGATATGGACAGTAAAAAATAAATAAATAAAAATAAAGGATAATCTAATAATGATTCTATTCATTTCCTTTTTTCACTAGTTCAATCCTATCATGTCAGCCTGGTTACTTGCATGTGATTATAAATTCATAGGGTAATCTAATCAAGGAGAAACAGCCTGGTATAGAGAATAGAGAGCTGTTCTCTGGGTCAGGAAGACTTGAGTTTAGTTCTAGCTGAAGATACATATTGTCCATGTGACTCTGGGCAAATTACTTACCCTTTCAGTATCCCTAGAAACTCTTAACTATAAGTTACCAAGTAATGGCCAGCCAGCATGGGAAGAGGTAGTTTCTTACCCCATGCAATCACAGGTCTGGATCAAAAGCAGTTTAGTCAGAGTTAATCAAGAT